TTCAATCGCTCCGTCAGATCATGTCCGCAGAAAATGTCTAAAATCTGCCATGTGCCCCATTGATCTTTGACCTGTGGCCTCCAATATCGGCACAGTGATGGCTTTTCCTACCATGATGCTATACACTGACTATCACGAGCCTAGGTCGAGCCGTTTAGATTTGTGCCGCAATTCTGAATTTCCTCCCTATACCTTAAGTTAAGGAGTGAATGTTCCCCCTTATTTTACACCTCTTGACCTTTGACCCGAAGCTGGGGGTCAAAAAAACGAGTTGGGATGTCGACGATCCCCCCCGATGTGCCGAATATCGTGACCGTACGTCGAGTGGTTAAGATTTGTGCCCAACTGTTGACGGACGGACGCACGCACGCACGGACGGACGGGCGGACGGACGATCGTGCGATTCTACAAGCTGCATCTGACTATGTCAGATGAGCTAAAAAGGCATATGTTTATATAAAATATGTAATATGAGAATGCAGGCAATTACCATGATAGCTCAAAAGGGTTTTTAGAGTTGTGCCAGCAATAGGGCATGGTGGGAAATCGAATTCGACACACGACGTAACATTGCATGCAACAAAATGGAATTTTGCAGACGTTGAAACATGACAGACAACGTGACTCACCAAACGGCCAGCATTTTGTTCCTTCAGTGTATTGTACTGTTCCATTAGAGGGCCTCTGTGGTTCTCCCACTGGTTTCCTAGGTTAACCAGCCGTTGGGCACTGTTGTCTATCACATTCTAACTCGGGAAACCAAAACATAACAGTAAATACCATTTTACTGAGTGAAATTAGTATCATTACTTGTTTGTATTTGTCCCTACAACAACTGATATCTCAGGCGTAATAGTAGACCATGCAGCAATATGTTCATACCACTTAGATATAATCGAAGAAATACCCGCTTGCATCACATGTCTCCAAACCAAAGGGACAGGTTGGGATGCCACTTGGTAGAACTTTGGAAAAACACACAATTAACAATAGTTCTATTTGCGCTTGATGCTGGTAGATGAGCAGCTTGTATAGAGACAGCATTATCAGATGTTTAGGAGGGTGCTTTCATGCTTCACGGGATGTGACACTGATCTCTGAGTTACACACCTGTAGCTTGGCAATGTTATTCTCTGCATCTGGAAGCAGGTCTAGCACACGTTTCTTGACCTTGTAGGTGACCTCTGCCGTCTTATTCGTCTGTACCAACTCACTAAGCTCCTCTTTTAACTGATAAACGAAATTGTTATTTTTATTTTACTGTTTGTAGTCACTGACACGCAGAATATGTCTAAACACTATAGTAATACATGAAGTGGAATAGTTACGGTAACAAAGAGTGATAGGCAAATAATAGGCAACAAAGAGTAGCACGAATCCCTCAATGTCAGCTTAATCACATCACTCACAGTCCCAGAATGAACCAAGGCATAGTCTACCATATTTAGTGCGTTCGATTTGCTTCCCCAGAGCCACCTGGGTTAACCTGGGTACGAAATCGAACGCATCTGGGTTAGGGAAGATAAACGAACGGTTTTTGGGTTAACCCGGGTTAATTATCATGGATGCCAGTGACAAGAAAAAAAGAATAACAATTGCAATCTTATTATTAATGAAATTTAAGAATGAGCACACAGTAGCAGATACAGCAACATCCGGGAACTTCGTGTGAACTTGCTTCCCAAAATGGCGGTTGTGGCGACCCATGACCTACTACGCTATGATTGGAGAGTGGTCTATCTTGTGCCTACGGCACTCTAGAATCTTTGATTAGTACCAACAACTCTGCCAACAAGTATAACGCTCTTGCCAGGTGCTGCTACCTAGTGGCCAGATAAGTAATTTTATTGCAACCCATTAAGAATACGAAGTCTAATTACATAGCTATGGAACGATATACCTACCACGCTTACACAGAGCAGCTGCACAATTATGCAAGTGAAGGCAAAGTTTGGAGAAATCTAATTGGAACTAATAATCGTTCAACCAAAAATGATCAGTTGAATAAATGCATTCCACATTATATTCGTATTGATCGTGAGGCTCACGGTTGAAACACTTTACTGTCATACCATGACTACAGGCCTATAGGACTACATCCATGTCCACATAAAGACATAGACTCGAAGTAGGAACACTAGTCGTGTTACTACTGTAGTTGTTTGAGTTGAGACATCAGCGCGGCATTCTCCTTCTTCATCTCATGGTAATCGGCCTGGATTCGCTGAAGATTGGCAAGTGTTCTCTTGTTGCTCTCCGACTCAATCTAAGCGACAAATAATTAACAGAGGATATTACAAAGATGACACTCACCCCCTAACTCAGCATCTAACCTTCAGTACCTTCAGCACATCTTCATTCAGTAACATGCCGTCCTACAGACAATGACATCAACAGTAGAAAGTAAATTCATCAAGGGCTGCGACCGCATACGTCAACTATGTTACACACCTGGTCCTCTAGATCACGGATCTCTCTCATGATCACTCCCGTGTCCTCTACCGTCTTGATGAGTTGACTGCAGTTCTGCAATCGAGAGACAAAAACGTATTGATTTACAATGCGACAAACACTCCAGATGCAGAGTACGGGTTGCTCAGGGGGTACATTTTATGTAAACTTATTAACTGAGTTTAGCTCAGAAAGGAAAGGCCACTAGAAGGCTTAATTTGCTTGCGAAGGTGTTTCAGGATGTCACGTGGTGGAATCCCAATGCAGTTTCTCAATTCATTCAGGTTAGCATTTGTTTACGAGATAAAGAGGTGTTCTAAAGGTCAGCACAGCTATAAATAATTAACATACACACATTTGTATGACATCAGAAAATGATGAGATGTCAACAGCTTTCATCAAGACCATAATATCAGTAGTCTATCAATAGTCTGTCTATTGATAGACTCCTGATAATATGATATATATATAGGATATATACATATAGGAGATGTATATAAACAAACATATATATATATATATATAAAATATATGAATTATATTTAGGAGCGATATATGTGCCTGGGGATATTCAGCAATCCCGAGAAACCATGGATTGTGAACACCTACTCACCTCATGTAGAGACGCAAGATATTTGTAAGCCTTTCTCACCGATTCGTCCTTCTTGGCATCCTGTGACAACAAACGTCAATGTCAGATACCGAGGAGTTTAGTTCTTTATGAAGCAAAATATGATTTGGCCTCGGTTGTATATCCGACCCTTGAATAAAAGCTCTATACAAAAACAATACCAGGCATTTCTCATAAGAATATGGTGAGATACCTTGAATATGAGCTCATCCGTGACGGTAAACGTGCGATCCAGCTTGCCTGACAGAACATTAATCTCCTTCTGCACCTCCTTTGTGTCACTCAACACCTGCCAGAAGTTAAAGAATATAGCTATACGGTGGTTACACACACATAAGATTAGCTAAGCTTAATGTATCTTGGATATATATATATATATATATATATATATATATATATATATATATATATATATTTACTATAGGTGATGTAGAGGAACTGCCTATAGTAGTTCAAAGAGGTACAATTATTTTGATTCATGTAATGAACCGTTTGATGTCGGTAGTTCTCGGCATCTTAAAATTACCCCATAGATTAAATTATGACTATATATGAACGATCTACCACACAATATGAGCTGCTTACAACCACCACAACAATATGGCGGCATACGTTCCCGCCTTTGTTTCTTTGTAGCAACAGTCTCTTAGATAAGATAATGACGTTGTTGGAACTATATATCGTATATGCCCTGTATCCCAGTTGAGGTCACAATTTCGTAGATCGCAGACATGACCAATAAAATGCCTATTGCATACAAATATTTCACACAACTAATCAGGCTGGCAGAGAGTTGATATATGATGAGGTATTAGATCACCGCTGCTCGTGGTACAAAATGTTTTCCATTATAACGATGATTATTTTTATATAGCCAAAGACTGAAGGATTAATATAGATAATCGGCGCGCACTTTTTGCGAGTAAAAATTGTGATTTGTGAGTAAAAATTTAACACGAACGGTCATGATGAAGTACTACTAGTATATATATATAAGGTTGCATATAATGAAAATGCTATTCCCTATTTATATTTAAGAGTCCTGATTTCAGGTTGCCATATAAAAGCTCTATTTATAAAGAGTACGAAACTTTTTTACACGTAGTTAGCTTTCACTTCCCTCGGTTTGGCTATAAACCATTCCAAAATCATCCTTCCAATGCCACAATGCAAGCTATTATATTATACATAATTTGAACATGTTTGCTTTCATTGACATATAGAAGTGTGAAAGCATAGACGCGCGCGCACGAACGCACGCACGCACGCACGCAGACACGTGCATATATGTGCACGTACGGCTATTATAGTAATACATGGTATTGCTCATAACATCAATGTGTGCATGTAACGTAGGAATAGTACGGTGGATTACCACCAATTGGCTGACCGTTTTTATACCAAAAACGTATTCGCTTTCTGCAATGTGCTATATGTGTGTGTATATGCGCCCGCATACGTCGTACGTGCGTGCAGGCGCGCCCACACACACACGCACAAGCACACTCACGCTCCTACACTCATCAAGAACCAAACAGATAGATATACACATTACTTGTAGTTTTGTACACTGTTTAATTTGGACTTTCGGATAGAGAAGGCTGGACGTATCCCCTCCATTGGCTGTTGCACACGAGTAGTTGTGAAAGTAATCTGTTTATTCATTATAAAGTAAAATAATAAAGTGCAGAAATGTGTAAATCCTGCCCTGGTTCTTGTCAATTCTTAACTATTTCTTGTGTTTTATGTTACGAATACAAATTTGCATTTGGTATATTATTAGTAGCCGCCTCGCGGTGGCAACATTAATACGTTATAGTTGTAATATAATGGCAAGAACATATGGAAAAACTTGTTCATATATATAATAGGAATAGTAGTATACCCGCAATCAATTATTAAAGTATTTTCCTTACTTCCTCTACCCAATCCAATAGAAAAAAAGGCACGCTGCGAGCACCCACAATGAGAGAGGCTGGCATTAGCATAATCTAATCGTCATCATCCCACTTCATCATCATCATCGTTGTCGTAGCAGTATAGTCACTATCTCCCACCAAGCAATGGTAACACCGAATATTCTAAAGCCTCCCATTCTCGCATCGGTGCCATCCGCGTGTAGATCCGTAAACTTCACCTCACGTGGATAGAATGTTCATAGCGTCTCAGCGTCTCAGTAGTCTCCAGGAGGTGAACCCCGTACAGAATCAGAGGAAGGGGAAGGAATTAACCTGTATGATACAGGCGGTATGTTCCGCTTCACTACACTAACCGTTAGGTAGTTCAAGGTTGTTGAAGGTTAGTGTAGCTCAAGGGGTCGTCGTCGTATCAGGTACTACAGATATGTACCCGAGGTACATATATGTATACACAAAGTGTACCAGACTTGTACTACAGAAGTAGGAATGAAAGTGTCAATGACACTGTAGCTCACCACAAAAAAGGACACAAATGAGTGAGTAAGAAGAAGTCAGTTTTAATTGAGCAACCATCGACGTACATTATAGAAACGATTGCCATCTGTATATCGCAATAATAATTTATAAACCAAAATGAATCACAATTCGTGACCGTAGATGGCGCTATACCCGCTTTGTAGCGATGGCGTTTGAAATAAATAGGTTACAGGGGCGTAGCCAGGATTTTCAAAGTTGTAGGCACGACTATCTGAGCGGAGCGCCACCATCGGTTGGCCCGGAGCGTACAAGAAAATTTTTGGTTTTACAAACCCCCCAGATGGCCGGAAACGGCCCTTCCTGAGTGTTCATTCTGGTTCCCTGACCTCTTGCTAACTTGAGACACCTAATTCAATATCACTTTTAAACCCAAAAAACACAAACGAGTTAAAATAGTGTTACGAACGAGTTAAAATGTTAAAAAACTGACAAAATCGGATCCTAGTCCTTTTCGGCGGGTAGAGTGTTGAATGAAACGGCACGCGATAGAAATGACAGCCTAGATGACAGAAGAATAGGTCACCTAATTTAGCCATATTCTTGCTACATTCATTTCAATAGTTTTTCCTGCCTAGACTCTTAAACTCGTCCAGCAATCTTATGGATTTGAATTATGGGTGTTTTAAAAAAAAAGATAACTTGGCCAAAAAAAGTGTAGGCCCGGGCCTACAGTGCTACATACTGGCTACGCCCCTGGGTTATGCTGCGTTCCGACATGTTTTGTAAAACTTTACTCTAATATAGACGTTTTATCGGCAGGGTGGAGAGGAAATACCAATTTTGCATTAAAGATATTGTCAATGAAATCTTGTAAAACGAACCAGACGAGTGTGACACCACAGACTGTTTGTGTCTATATAATATGCTATATAATTGCCAAACCCTACCTAATTTGCATAATTTTTTTTTTCATATCAAAACCCCTAGCCCTTATTCATTCACATACCAAAAATGAGCAAAATCCGTTGAACCTGAACTGACTAATGGCAATTCCCATTGTGGCCAAAAAATTGCCGTGGCTCGAAAGTACGTGGACTGGCGTGCTCCAAAATAGGACGTTTAATATGGGAGCATAGCAGTAACAACTATACCCAATTTCAAACATGTGGGCCAAACGGTTCCTGAGTTATCGTTGACCGTAGCGAAATGTTGACGGACGGACGGACGGACGGACCGACGGACGGACGGACGTACGACGGACGACGACCCATGGCAATAGCTCAGCTTGACGATGTCAAGGTGAGCTAAAAACGGGAAAAATAGTGCTATTTCACGACAACATTATTCTACTTTGCCTGCGAGTCTAGAATAATTTTATGGTATTGCATTAAGCAGAATTCTTTGCTCTCTAAAACAAGACCAACCGCTTGTCAATACGATACTCCTAAGCTGAGATATTGGCTCCTAAACCTCCCCTCCCACATGCCTCACGCCGCCTCGCATCCAGCTTATTCAGCAACCTAAACGCCCCTAAGCATTTTGGCTATCGATTTCCGTCACCGCTTGGAGCGCTGATAATTGATGTCACATGCCCAAATTTGGTACTCTTACTACACCATATAGTAACTGAGCTGCGTTGTAGAGACTTAATTTAGAAAACATTGCCGGCTCCATCATGACGGGCATTAGCCGTGCTAGGAAAGATAATGGGAGATAAGGGCATAGGCGATGCCCCCGAAAGTCACCTATGATAACCGAAACGCCGTTCATTCATAAAGTTATAGCGGAAAAACCGAACTCTCACGAAGCAACCTTAGGGGCGTTTAGGTTGCTGAATAAGCTGGATGCGAGGCGGTGTGAGGCATGTGGGAGGGGAGGTTTAAGAGCCAATATCTCAGCCTAGGAGTATCGTATTGACAAGCGGTTGGTCTTGTTTTAGAGAGCAAAGAATTCTGCTTAATGCAATACCATAAAATTATTCTAGACTTGCAGGCAAAGTAGAATAATCATGTCGTGAAATAGCACTATTTTCGCGTTTTTCTGTTGTACACTCTAGGTATTATTAGCTCTTGATATATATATATATATATATACAGTCCAACTAATTTTCTTTTTATATCGGTTTTATTCTAACATTTTAGCGAAACACCTGTTCTTAATGAATGACACTTCCGGCACTTCCCTTGAGTAGCTGTTATATAGTGAAAACACCCCTATCGAAAAAACCTCGCTATTTTTAAACGACACTGAGCATATTCTCGAAGCGACAGCTATAGTGTGAAACCACCTCTATGGAACAGACATCTGTCTATAAAGGACACTTTGGGGGTTTCCCTTAGTGTCCACTATGTACGGGTTTGACTGTGTTTATATTCACATAGACGTGTAAAGATATTTGCTCGTGTTCTGTGTAGCGTACCAAAGAGAACGTGTGTACAGTGCCTGCCTACCTTCTGGATATCCTGGTTTTGCTTGTTAATGTTTGTGATGATTTCCAAAATTCGTTTCGTGTACGCTGCTCTATTCACGTCCTTTGTTGTTCGTTCGTACTCTGCCACCTATAAGCAAAGCATTGACACATTTAATTCGGTTGAGATTTATTTCTTTGGGTGTACCTAAAGCTAACATCACTAGCTGCCTCGCTAGATGCTGTAGATCAAAAATGTGCTTAAATTTTGTAGTGTTTCGTTTAAAATTGCCGAACGTGGCATCAGAGAGTGAGTGCTCCCGATCCTGGGTTGTGTGCTAACATGACGGCATACCAGTTGTTTATAGAGGTCATCTTTGGCACGCGTATCTGTAGCGAGAGCCCTCATCTTCTCTCTCAGACGCTTGATCTCTTCAAGCTTCTTCTCCGTTTCCGACTGCAAGAAGTGGATTCTTATCGTATGGCTCGTAGTTGGGCATGATCACAGATATTAACCATTTTAATGCATACAAGTGCGCGCGAGCGACAGCGCTCATCTAACGTCTACTGCGTGACTCTGTGGTGAGTGGTGGGTATCTAGTAAACCTGTTAGTCCCAATGTGTCACATACACGCCGAACAGTGAATGCACAGGGATGGTATCCAGGAACCTTCTCAAAGGACATGTTTGTTCGGATCGTTATGAAGCTTCGCACGAGATGGCGCGTACGTTTAAGTGTCTTCAGATTAAAGATGGAAGCTCCCATCGTACCATAGTAGCAACCAACTATTTGCAAGACAGAATAGCATAAGCAACTCATCCATTTACCTACGCAAGCCACAGGCTGCAATAGAGAGCTGCCCACCTGTAAACTAATTACACGCAGGCAAAACTACAAGTACCACCACATGCACTGGCAGTGGCCACTGGCAGTGGCATACGTTTACATGTAAAATACTGACAGTACAAAATGCCATAGAAATTATAGGATTTAAGGAGCATAAACTTCTTCAACCAAATTTAGTTTTGAAATTTCACTGTGACATTGTACCTCGTAATCCAGGCATGTATAGATTCTACTAGCAAACCCGCAGTCAATTCTTTCTAACAGACAGTAACAAATCATGTTTAACCCTCCTCTTGAGGTCAAAGGTTATCACACTTACTCTTCGCATGTCAGCAGAAGGACATTTCATGGTCCTTTCAATAAAGCCATAAAAATGCTAGGTCACCGCTGAAGAAAAAAGTTTTCAATCGCTCCGTAGACCATGTCCTCAGAAAATGTCTAAATCTCCCCTGTGCCCATTGACCTTTGACCTTCAATTTCGGCACAGTGATGGCTTTTCCTACCATGATGCTTTACACGACTATCACGCAGCCTAGGGTCGAGCGTTTAGATTTGTGCCGCAAATTCTGCATTTCCTCGCCTATGACCTTAAGTTAAGGAGTGAATGTTCCTCTTTTTTAACAACCTCTTGACCTTTGACCTTTGACCCAGCTTCGACATCCCAACTCGTTTTGACGATTCCCCCCGATGTGCCGAATATCGCTCGACCGTAGCGTCCGAGCGGCTTAAGATTTTGTGCCAACTGTTGACGGACGGACGCACGCACGGACGAGGACGGACGGCGGACGACGATCGTGCGATTCTACAAGCTGCATCTGACTATGTCAGATGAGCTAAAAAGCATATGTTTATATAAAGTATGTATATATGAGAATGCAGGCAATTACCATGATAGCTCAAAAGGGTTTTTAGAGTGTTGCCAGCATAGGGCATGGTCGGGAAATCGAATTCGACACACGACGTAACATTGCATGCAACAAAAGGAATTTTGCAGACGTTGAAACATGACAGACAACGTGACTCACCAGACGGCAGCCATTTTGTTCCTTCAGTGTATTGTACTGTTCCATTAGAGGGCCTCTGTGGTTCTCCCACTGGTTTCCTAGGTTAACCAGCTTGCGGCACTTTGTTGCTATCACATTCTAACTCGGGAAACCAAACAAAACAGTAAATACCATTCTACTGAGTGAAAATTATAGTCATTACTGTTTGTATTTTTCCCTACAACAACTGATATCTCAGGCGTAATAGTTAGACTCATGCAGCAATATGTTCAACCACTTAGATATAATCGAAGAAATACCCGCTTGCATCACACATGTCTCCAAACAAAGGGACAGGTTGGGATGGCCACTTGTAGAACTTTGGAAAAAACACACACAATTAACAATAGTTCTAATTTGCGCTGATGCTGGTAGACGAGCAGCTTGTATAGAGACAGCATTATCAGATGTTTAGGAGGGTGCTTTCATGCTTCACCGGATGTGACAGTGATCTCTGAGTATACACACCTGTAGCTTGGCAATGTTATTCTCTGCATCTGGAAGCAGGTCTAGCACACGTTTCTGACCTTGTAGGTGACCTTCTGCCCGTCTTTTCGTCTGTTCCAACTCACTAAGACTCCTCTTTTAACTGATAAACGAAATTGTTTATTTTTATTTATGTTTGTAGTCACTGACACGAGAATATGTCTAAACACTATAGTAATACATGAAGTGGAATAGTTTACGGTAACAAAGAGTGATAGGCAAATAATAGGGCAACAAAGAGTAGCACGAATGCCTCAATGTCAGCTTAATCATCATCACTCACAGTCCCAGGTTAACTTGGGGAAGCAAATCGAACGCACTAATTGAATACCATCAAATTTGGGGTCAAATATATGTCAACAGATGCCATATCTAGATATCAATCATTATAAGCAGCACAGCGATACTTGGAAACGGCATGATGAACACATGTATGGGATATAGAAGCAAGAAAAAATAAAGTGCATGGCGACTTTCCACATTGAAAGCTCTAGATACACAGAATGGAAGAATACCCTAGCGAAACAGTTCATCTGCATTTAGACTGACTGACAATTTACCTTATCTATGCTAGTGGAGTACTGTCGTGTTTCCAACTTCGTATTTTCTAATCTGTCACTCAAGCCATCGAGCTGAGTCTTCAGTGACTCAAACTCCTGCTCCCTGTGCTTCTGTATATCTTCCTCTGTCTCAGCTTGGGGCTTCACAGCTTCACTGGGCTTCTCCTCCTGCTGCAGTAAGATAACGTATCCATTACGAAGATGCTTCACTTACAGTAATTACTTATGCATGCATCCCATCCAACTACACGCATGCACACACAGACACGCACGCACGCACACTACCTTAGTAAATTGAAGTTTCTCAGAGTGTGTGAAGCGTGATCCCTTCACTCGTGCTACCGGCCTCTCGGTGTGTACCCCCGTGAGCGCGCTGGCATCACTGTCACCGCTAGCTGCCTGCACGGCTCGTGTCAGATGGTCTGCAATGCGTTTGTGCAGTCGCTGGTGTTTCCTAGCTCTGTATTCCTGCAATAGCACACTGCCAGTCATCACAGGTTTGATATTATACCAGTGATTGTCAATGCCGATGATGTCAACACAACACAATACCTTAATTCCATAATGTGGAAAGAAAATGTGACCCCGAAAAGAATCCAAATTGGCCTTATAGTATTTATATCCATCATACTAACCCTATATACACAGAAGCACGAGTTATTGAACATTTCAGCAATGACTCACAAAACCAATTTCATTTCTGGCAGTTTTATCTGGTTCTCCCTCTTATCCTAAGATGGATAACCGACTAATCATACATCTATGGTCAATAACCATCATTCTATCTATGCACTACAGCAGCAGGAGGGGAAGGGTGTTCCATAATTTATCAAGTACCTCCTGTGTCAGCCGTGAATGGAGTCCACTCTGGTTCCACTCTGCCTCCCACTCCTGAGCGATTGTCAACTGTAGTGCATTTGCTTCCAGCACAGATGGCGCCACGTCCTCAGGCTTACACCTGCCTAGTGATTCACAGTCAATAACACTCAGTCCAAACTCTGAAACAGATTTGCATATATACTTACCATGAGTGGTGAGAGATTCGTGAGCATCACCTGTGTACAACTAACATGAGTTATCCAAGGAAACTGTTCTGCTAACTTTCATTTTCCCAAGATATGTTAATATCAGCAGTAGCATATAACGAATCACCATACTACAGCAAGAGCCTGTTGTATCTTTCTTGTTTATAATGATATTGTTGAATCAAACTGAGGGTCTGATGAACATGTAACCACACCTACCTAAGGATTGAGGTTTGGTTAGGTCACTAACACCCTCTGGTAGGTTGACACTCACAGCGTGGAATGGCCATGTGTTTGAGTAGTCCTGCAAGACAATAATTCAGAGAAACACTGCGAATGGGCAGGTGGCAGCACAACATCACAGCCTGCTGAGCTGGTAAAGCAAGGATTTCATCCGATTTTACTAACGGTTTTCACATTTTCTCGACCGTTCTGATACTTAGTGCTAGTCCTTCCATAACTCCAATTGTATATAGTAAGACTATAGGCTATAAGAAGGCTAACATATGTCATAGAACACTCGTGCATCACTCTTTTCACCAATATGTGCCCTGATCTCCATTGCATAGATTTGTTTACATATGTCAACAAAACTAGTGTGTAAATTTTGCGCTCATGAGATGCCATTAACCGTCACCCTGTCTCTATGCTAGGTTAATAACCTTTGTATACATTTCAAGATAGGTACCAATCTATAAATATTTGTGTCATGTAACTATGCCCACTTGTTTTGTGGTACCATTTAAAAATCCCATTATCGTGAATCTCAAGATAGCAGGTACATGTTTGCAGTTCATATACTGTTTTATAGCCTATAACAGCAGAAAGTCGTAATAATTTTTATGCTGAAATAATCAGTGAAATGAATGCTGATAGGTGAGACTAAATCTGTCTAAATTTATTTATTTTTTAATCTATAGATCTATTTGAGAAATTATCATTTTAAAGAACAATGTGAAGAAATGTCAAGCAGTTGGTTCATACCTGCCGGTGTGATTGAGTGAGGCTATCACGCAAGCGCAGCCCACCGTGACAGACACGCAGAGGTCTCATGGGAAGCTGCAACCGTCTCTTTATCTCATTACATATCGCCTGACTCATCAGCGCTGATGACGACCCTGTTACACCAAGACCCCTATTAACATTGTTTCCTTATACTGTAGTTGAGAAAAAATACCATGGTCACTGAGGTGTCGGCTATATTATAAGAACTAATCTATGTACTGAGTAAAATTTTACCCTATTTAAAAATGCATGTTTGTTTTATTTATTGATAAAAATTTAATATGTTTGAAACTTGGGAGTAAATGCGTCATTAACTTTATTATTAATTATATAAAAGCTATCTTTGTTAGACACGCAATCAGATGGCAGAGTGCTTCATTTAACATCGTTTCAGTTAAAGCCATAGTTTTCAGGAACCTAACTACGATGTTAATCAGGGAATTAGTGTATAATGTTAGGAGATTATAGCCTCATGTGCACTGAGTAAGATTAGTTTATGACAGCATGTGTATGTACCATTAATAATAATAATATAATAACAATAGATACAAAAACAAAACAAAAATAGTAATCACAATAACAGGAGCAAGATACTAATTATATATATATATAGCTGTTACCTTGAAACCTGATAATAATAATAATGATAATATTTAATAATAATAATTTCGACAAAGACGAAGAGATTAAGACAAACCAGATATTCGCTTGTTTGCTTACCTGCCGGCTCCTCAGCCGTGGCCGCAGATTCCTTTGGGATCTTCTCGAGGAGAAAAATGAGGATTTTGCGAACATCAGTTTCGTTAGCGTAGAGGAACGTTTGGTAACCAATTTCTCCCTTGTAGCCAATCTCCTGCAGATACAATTGTATGAAATTAATCGCTCACAAATCCCTGCAAATTCAAGCTGAAATGAAACTATAAGTACCCCGTATATACTGTTTGCTAAACAGCAAGTCTATGTATATATCTTGTTCATATTTTCTCTGTTAGGTATGGAATTTTAGAAAGCACATATGCATACTTTTTTCCACTATGTCAAGGCCCAATATATGCTGCAAAACAGTAGTTAAAAGTACAATCAAAAGTCTCCTCGTGAAAATTCTAAGTAATATAAATGACTTCTAATCTTATGTAACACTTGTCTACATTCTACAAAACACTGGATGTATTACATACCACGCACGCTTCAGCGAGACTGGTGCCGATTCGGTACCGGGCAGACATACCAGGGGGCAGCACCGGCGACATGTCAAATTTTTGGTCAATGACACAAAGGCATTTTACTGCTGCCTCAACGACAGTTGCTGTGGAGAAGTCTCGCAAGCTCTGTACCTCATCCTCCACATCACTAGAAAACCGCATTCAATTCATTAGTTTTAAATTTGTTCTTCCCTGTCACATAGCCTAGACAAGAGCCTCAGCAATTGTTGCTTTTGGTTCTTACATTCTCAAGCCTGCTCATTAATCCTGATATCTATCGCCAACCCTTAATACACAATTCTTAAACTCACCTATATAGTGATCCAATGTAGATAATTTAGTACTACAGTCAGTAGGGATGTTGCCCGTACGTTTACCAGGGACAGATGTATAAATTGTAGGTCTGTTAGTGTTAGTTTAGTTACCGACCCAGTGACAGTGACTGTTAGAAACACAGGCGCTTTGAACGTTTCAATAATAAAATGTTGATATAATAAACACAAAATGTATTTAGTAATTTACTACCAAATTTCTTAATGTTTCTTTATTATTGCCTCGCCTTATTGCTGATAATTTCCACTGGCAGCAAGAACAAGTTGGCACTTGCAGCTACAGCACACACGCGGCATATATTGACTATATATATATATATTGACTATATATAACAACGTTGTTATATTATAACGTTTATATATTAACAATGTTGTTATATATAGGTGCGGGCGGAGCTACGTCACAGATCAGTAGTCACGTGACCACCAGCAGAAGACCGGTGAAAACAACACGATCGCGTCACTGGCGCCCATATGATTACTGCATAACGATACGAATTATCCGTCACTTGGTTTGGAAGTTTTAATAAGTTTTTTTCATGATAGTTCTTCTAATATGCCTTACGAGTATATTATGACATACAGAGATAGCCTTTCTGTAGCTATAATTATGACATTACGTAAGATACATATGATACATAAGATACATAAAATAAATATTTAAGCTATTCTTATTTGTAGTTGTTTGCTTTGCATTAGTTCAATAAAATTACCCCAGGTCTTGTGAAACAAAAACAAAGTCCAAGATTACACATGCGCATGCACACACAGTGACACACTCACATGCACATGCACACGCACTCGCACACACAGTGACACACGCACACGCACTCGCACACACACAAGGACACACAAACACGCACACGCACGCACGCACGCACAGGCACACACAGTGACACACTCACATGCACATGCACATGCACACGCACTTGCACACACAGTGACACACTCACACACACACGCACACGCGCACACACAAACACGCAGGCGCACACACGCACACACGCACGCACACGCACGCACACGCAGTGACACACTCGGACGCACACACACACACAAACACGCACGCACACGCACATGCACGCACATGCACACGTACACACAGTGACACACTCACAAGCACACACGGTGACACACAAACACGCACACGCACTCACACACACAGTGACACACTCACACGCACACGCACACGCACACACAAGGACACACAAGGACACACAAACATGCACGCGCGCACACGCACGCACACAGTGACACACTCACACGCACGCACGCACACCACACACACGCAGTTATAAAAAAAATAGTAGTTACATGTCACAAAATGATCAGAACAAACAGTGGAGAATTTTGATGGACTCCAGTGCGTACCAATTACATTTACTCATTTACTCATTTACATTTAGGTGGCAGTCAGCCACTTATGACTTATCACGCCTCTCTGGACTCTTATGTCATTTTGGCAGCTCAAAAAAATATGTTTTCTTATCTGTGCTATATATATGATTGTGACAACCTACTACTACACAAGTTTTCGGCATATATGCAAGGAAATTAGTATGCTTTTGGTTTGGAAATGGGGTATTGAGTGTGTAAGCTCACGAAGACAGGCTGTTGTTTTCAGCGGCATGCATAGCTGGTTGCTAGGTTAAGAAAGTCCCGGATGTGGCAAAGTTCCCGGCTGTCCGCCCGCACCTATAGTCAATGGCCGCGTGTGTGCTGTATAGCTGCAGGTGCCGACTTGTTCTTGCTGCCAGTGATAATTTCCTGTAAATGCCGTTCACATGCTTCTCTGTAACACACAAGTACTATACACCGCATGTATGCCGCTGTGCACAAACACCAAAAATATAGAGCAGGTGGGAAAGCATGATCGCAAAATTCGCACGACCCTCGCTTCGTTTCTCTGGGTAGAGTAGGCAGTGTGAAAAGGCAAACAAGGTGAACATTTAGCTACGCATAGATCTATACAAAAATAGAGGCCGTTGGTTGTGTGTTGCACAGGAGCATTTGAACGGCATTTACAGAAAATCGGCAATTATCGGCAATAATAGGCGAAAGAGAGTAGAGAAACATTAAGACTTCGCTAGTATATACATTTCGTGTTTATTTACTATCATTTTATTATTGAAACGTTCCAACTTCCAAGTCAAGCGCCTGTGTTGACTGTGAGTGTTGTTGTGGTTAGAAACGCCTCCGACTACTAACTGAGCGTTGTATTACGATAGCAGAGTAATATGAAAAAAAGTAACACTGACAATGTATTGCTATAGTTTCTACATATAAAATTCGAGTTAATAAGCAAATTACCATCCAATTTGTCGGAGGGAGTGGATAATAATGTTATCAACTTCTTCCATGTTGACAACAGTAGCCGGTGGTACATGGGAAGATATTTACTTTACCCAGCATGCATTGCAACACAAACTGCAAAAAACTGAGATGGCATGAGAACAATATATACATTGTTACAATAATTATATACATTGTATATATTCTTCTCAGAGAATGGCACCATGTGTATGTATCTACGATGGCACCAATTTTTCGTACAACATGATACACTATCAATGTCTATCAATAGAAATAGATACGTAACTACAGAAATATATATATGACACTACAAGCATGAACTTCAACATAGCATGGATGTTTACAGTAGGGCCTACATACGTTCATGGTTAGCAGGAGAAAAAGTTGTTAATATACAATATACTTCTGAGGATACAAATAAAATAGATGGGCGCACATATGAATGAGTTGAGTGAAGAGTATAGTTTGAGGTCTGGATGTATCAACTATAGGTAGGTGGTGGATGGAGGAGGGAATGTACAGGAGATAGAAAAGCCCAGAAGATGAGGAAAAGAGACAGAAGAAACAATTGGTGCGATATAAGTAGTGAACAGAGAAAATTCAGAAGTGTTGAGTTGGTCGGGGAGATCAAAGATACAAGGGGGTATGAATGAAGGAAATAGCAGGTTAGACGAGGAGAAAGAGGACGAGAAGGGAGGGGGGAAGAGTCATACACCTCCTAGACAAAAATGGAGCAATAGAGAGTGTAATAGAAGCTATCTAGACAATGATTATGCTGGCTAAACTACATTAAAACAAGAAAACTAAAATAACAACCAATATGATGCTAAACTCAATCGAAAAAGCACAAGAATATTTACATGTAAAATTTTTATTACATACAGTGATAAAGTATTAGCAATACAATGGATTGTGTCACAGCTAGTCTATACTGCAAAGTTTCCACCTAGCTATTCAATTATCTCCAAACATGCTCAATGGAATCAATGCTATAATAATTTTAAGCCCTTATACAAATACAAACAAGAACAGGTTGGGTTTACACTGTATAATGCTCATATAACATGTATAAGCACTGGCATTTACCTGTAAGTAACCAAGCTAGAACTTTATCGCCAATTTCTACACACCATGAGTACATCTACGTATGTATACACAGCAGATTATTAACATTATCTTTTTGTGATGAAATCTGATGGGATGAAAAGATACACATGTACGAAATCATTGATATTACGTTATGTATCAGAATTGCGTTAATCATCTGCAGGATTAGTATCGGCGTTTCTTAATGATTTCTGGCTTCCAGTTGATGGGGTGACTCTCCTCAGTCTGCAATGTGAAGGAAGGGAAAATTAGAGAAAACCACTAAAAATGCACAACCACACAAGCATTCTTAAATTTATGCATTTGAGACAATATGGCTTTTTACACATTATTTTTCAATCATACGTAGACATTAAATTAGCTGCTGCTTGCTCGTTTTCAAAGTCATTTAGCAGGAATCAAATAACGAAGAAAAATTGTGAATCAGTTGCTATAGTAAAAGTACAAAAACAACAAAACCAACCATATAGCAACAGGCCACAATATTCAGTAGTAAAATCAAGGAAAGCTCAGAGGCGGAAGCAACACATATCGTTTCTCGCCGCCACCTCATCGGACGGACAGCAACTCTCCATCCACCGTGAGTGACCAGGGTGCACTAAGGCACGTTAAGCTTCCATCAAACATACCGCAGAGTCATCCTCCTTGTAGATCTTGATCGTCTTGTCGGCCTCCGCAGTAAGAAGTCTGCTGCCACTGAGGTCATAGGTCATTGCAAAGACTCCAGCCTCGCTGTCAATGGAGCCTGGCTGTACGGGGGCTTGGAATCGTTGGAAGTTGTAGCCGGTCTTCCAGTCCCAGAAGTGTAACGTGCCATTGTCACCTGAAGAGAGACAGCAGTGTTTCCTCGTATGCTACATGTGTCACAAAAAAACGATATATAGTGCAACAGACACTTATAACAGATGTCAGAGAGAATGATATGGGTCTCTATTCCATTGACATTATCAGTCCAGGAACAGATGCCATCATCACACACCTCTATACCTCTCTAGCCCTTACACAACAACAGAGTTACTAAATTCCAGTATATCAATAGCAGCCCTGATCAAATTTTTACCAAGCCAAATAAGCACGTGTGTCGGTGTGAGGTTGTTAGTACTATGCTGGCGCTCTAAACCCATTTCTACAGCTGCTTTCAACTGAGTCAACTCAGCACAAATTTTTCAGTTCACACTTAAATTTGTCTCTGTCGACGCTGGCTCTATAAATAGGGAACTGGCATAGGGCTAACAACCTCACCTATACCAAAGTTAGCAACTTTGAGTAAAGCCTATTGCGAAAACCAAAGGTACACTGTTGCAAAAGCCCTGTGTTCAATGAAGCCACAAGGAAAGCAACTACTGTTACACAAGCTAATGGCAACACAGTCGGAGTTGCAATGGCTCCATGCTCTAAGCATGTAGCCTAAATAAAAGCATAGAGCCTAAATGACAAAAAAACGGTGTGAGGTTTGTTGGAGTAAGCTAGCATGTGCTTACCCCCGGATACGAGCACATTGTCCGTGTTCAGTGCAAGGGAGTTCACAATGGCGCTGTGGCCGGACAGATTCTGAACAAAGTTGCCGTCCGGGAACCTCCACTGCTTGATGTTGTCCGGCGACGCAGATGCAAACATGTGCCTGCAACCAATTGAATGCATCTTACCGTGGTTACAAAATGAAATCACCACATAGCCAAGATCATGACAGAATATTTGAAAGGATTATTACGTGGCGCTTGTTACTGTTTACCTAAACCGAAAATTAGCATCACCTAATTCAAACGACATGGGTTGCCCATTAGATAAGACACTAGTTTCTGCCATCTGTAGGCAAATCAGACAATCAATGTGGTGCTTACAGCGTAGGATGAATTTGAACGGCGCGCACGCTCTTCTTGTGATTGGTGAGAGTTGCTCGGGACTTGCCTGCCGCGAGGTCCCACAGTCGCACCGTCGAGTCGTGTGACCCAGTGATGACCTACATCAAGAATACATAGTATCGCTAAACATTCCAGCATGCACGTGTGTTAAATCCACGTTCAAACTGGGTGAGCTTGACCAATCGAGCAGGAATATCCAAATGGTAGTGTGGTTACACCGTTCAACCGGATCAGTCAATTAAGCACAGGAAACAGTTGCAACACGCGTGGTGATTCTTACTCCTCCCAACTTCCTCGACATAATTACAAGTAGCTGCACGCATGCGTACCTGCGGCTCGACGGCCTGACACTTGACGTCGGCGACCGTGTTGCTGTGTCCGACCAGCGTGTGTACGCAGGCCTTCGTGCGCATGTCCCAGACGCGCGCGGTCGAGTCGCGCGAGCACGTCAGTAGTACGTCGATGGTCGGGTGGAGGTCGAGGCCGTAGCACGCGCTCAGGTGGCCGTGGTAGTGTCGGATCACCTGCGCAACGAACGACGCCGTGCGGCCGGGGAATGAGACAAGAGAGAAAGTGACACGCGCGCAAGGATGCGAGAACTATAGGGCATGTTTGTTCGGCGATCCAATGAGTAAAATCCACCAATGAGTGCTCGCTGCTAGATGGCAAATGTCAGTTTACTGGCAAACTGCTCATACCAGGGCACAATAAATATGTGCAGCTGATCAAGATTAAGTGTGGGGCAACTGGAGGGATTCTTATCAAACAAATATGATGACAGAAAATGTCGAGAGTTGAAGCACAAAATGTATGTCATCTTGGATATCTTTTTCTCTGAGTCTTACCTTGTTATATTCTAGGTCCCAGCACTTCACCTGCTTGTCCTCTCCACAGGAGAACAGGTAGGGCTGTCGGGAACTGACGGCCACACCTCTGACGGTGCTCACGTGACCAGTGAGTGACAGCTTCAACTGACCGGTTGCCAAATCCCAGATCTGACATAAAGTCCGAGAAATAACCTCTTTAAATTTACATTCACAGTACCATGCGTCCATACGATGGATTGCCGCTCTACAATTATAGTGATGGAGCTGGCAAGTTCCAGCAATAATAATGATGAATGAATGATATGAAAAAGATGGAGACACTACATCTCCTTTTTTCTGCCCAAGTTCTTAAAGTTATCCCAGTGGAACTAGACCCTATACTGCCTAGCAAGGCCTCCTGTTCAAACACGGTGAAATTCGTGTTGCGGCCACCTCTACAGAATCAACACCAGTGTATAAAAAGACGCCATTGGTTTTTCCCTTGAGTAGCAGTTACACAGTGAAACCATTCCTATCGAACAGACACCAGTCTATAAAGAAGACTCTTAGGGTTTCCACTAAACGACTCTCATACGCGGGTTTGAGTGTATATAGTTCAATATACAATCTACACATGTGGTTACATCTCTACCCTCACCTTGATGACTCTGTCAGCCGCTCCAGTCACGAACCACTCGTTACCCGGCTCGACGGCGATGCAGCGCACCCAGCCCCAGTGACCGCTGATCACACGAAACAACTTCCAGGGTGGATGCCACTGCGGCTTGGGCATCGTCGGAGCCTTCCTTGGAACCAGAGCCGTCTTATCTGTCGTCTGCGCGAGGACGAGAGCCTGAAGAGGTGACACGCCGACTGTATAGACTTATGATTCTATTACGTCCATTGTGTCCACTTAAAGCGCAATGAGTTACTACTATCTGTGTAAGCATTACGGGGCTTCGCATCACCATTACCACTGCAATTTTTATATCACTACAACATAATAATAATTACAATTACAATAATTACAATTATTTGTAGTCATAATAGCAGCAGCAGTAACAGCACCACTAGCATTAGCATCAGTAAAATTAGTGAGGGTATTGCGTACTATATATTTTCTGAATAGTGGGGAACTATGTAGCACAAGTGGTATATACAAGTGCATTTGTTAGTACATAAGTCCTTAATAATATATCGTATTCACGGTGAATTTCGTGTTGCAGCCACCTCTACAGAATCAACACCAGTGTATTAAATTTCAAGTGCAACATAATAATATGTCATTGTGTAAATGTACTTCCAACACTGCAGGATAATTGTTCAATCAAACAAATTAGATGTTCAGGTAAAGATATGCGGAGAGCTTTTCCGGCAATCATCACTCACCTTAGATGTCGCTGGTGGACCGATACGCTCCTGCAAGCCTGCATTCTGCTGAATATCGTAGATTCCTGCGGCCACTTTATCCTGATCTCGTCTGAAATTACGAGAATTTTCCAGTCTTTATTTTTAAGTAATACATTACATATAGGAATTGCTTATTATTACCAGAATTCTTATATTTTTTGTTTAACAAAACAAATATAGGAATGCATTTTTATGGTGATTCTACTGCAGCTTAGGTAATGTTTTTTCTTTAGTTGTCACAGGAAGCACAGTGGATGCATTCTATGTCAGTCCACATCCATGTTTACATGATGGGTTAGCACCTAATCCCTAGCACACTTGCCTGGCTTGAGAAGGTGGAAGACCCTGTCTTGCCTGCATGAGACCCTGCTCACTCAGAGCCCTGTGCTGGGCCATCGTGTCTGCAGACAGCTGCACACCTACAAACAATTGAACAACAGTTAGTGGACAATAGACGCTGGGTCTATTGTCAATGTAGGCTGTTCTGGTTACAATATCATACTGTTCAGTGAATCTGGTTCATACCTGCCATGGCTAGAAATGTCAGATCTCTCTACATTATATATCATTTGATTGTTTGTGATCACAGATTTTAAAATATACTTAGAGTTTGACACTCACTGCATAGATGCATTGTACATACAGCTAGATCACACCAACACAATTTAAGATAATAGCAAAGCACTTGGAATCTAACATATCTATTTAATTAAAATTTAGACCTATACTAGATCACATTTCGGATCCATCACCATACAATTGTTCTTACCCGGAGCATTCGGATAACTGTACCCAGTCTGAATTCGTGGTGGCAAATCTGCATGTCTCTCAGCTGCAAAAAAATATATTTAAAAGGTTTGTACAAATATTGTTAAACCACCTGTGGGTTTAGGGCTATGGTTAGGTTTAAGAACAAGGAAAGTGTCAAAGTTGGGATTAGGGTTAGTTATCTAACCCAAAATAGATTAGCAACATATATGCCCATCCTCAGCAAAATATGGCTGATAAAATGAGCAGTAGCTATGTCTAGTGCGTGGGATGCCCTTTAGATATTGACCCACCTCCAGGATAGTATATGTCTGTTGCAGGTTGTCCGCCATTCACTTGACGCTGGTCCTTCTGTGATTCTTTGGCTGTTCCCAAGTGTAAGATCGGTCCATACTCATCCTTTGCCTTCACAGACAGTAACAGCTTCTCGCTGCAAAGCCAAAAAGCTACATGTATCAGGAAAGCCCCCCAACACTTTCATGATAGTGGAGGTAAATGCTGCGTTTAACAATATGTGCATTTTTGATTATGTTAAACAATGGAAATGCTGAATTCTCTCACAGCAATACAAAGTTTTCAATTCAGAGTAGATATTCATTTCAAAGACTTGCTCAAAGTTTAAATAGAGAGAAGGGGATAGCATACTTAACAGGATCTGATGAGACTGGGTTGGAGTATTCTGACAAAAACATATCATGTGCCCTCTTCAGAGATCTGAACACGAGCGTGTGAACAGAGTGTTTCTGCACCTCCTAGAAAAATGAAAGTGTCAATGACACTGTAGTTCACCACAAAAAAGGACAGCAAAATGAGTGAGTTGAGAAGAAGTTCAGTTTTAATGAGCAACCAGTCGCGTACTATGTATAGAAAGCGATAGAGTATAGTAATGGGAGGAACTCCCCCATTATATACTCTTGATAATTATATGTGTAATTTTTGGATGTGAAAAGATAATAAATAGGATGATTATATATAAGATTATAGAATAATTATAGAACCAGGAAATGAAATTCCACAAATTTGTGGACGGGTAGAAATGCGCTCATACCACGCTTGTGATGTTTCTTAGCATAAATAATTATATCATAAACAAAATAATTATAAATAATAATAGTATAAATCATAATATGGTCATAGAGCAGGGAATTTTGATTAAGATATTGGCTCAATGAAATCTTGTAAAACGAAACCAGACGAAGTGTGACAGCCACAGACTGTTTGTTATCTGGTGTCTATATAATAGTTAATATGGCTATATTAATTGGCAAACCATACTAAATTGGCATAATTTTTTTTAAATCATCAAAACCTCGGCCGTATAGCCCTTATTCATTCACATTACCAAAAAATGAGCAAAATGCCGTTAAGCCTGAACTGACTATGGCAAATTCCCATTTTTGCACAAAAATTGCGGTGGCTCGAAAGCTACGGGCGACTGGCGTGTCTCGCAATAGGATGTTTAATATGGGAGCATGCAGGCAGTAACAACTATACCAATTTCAAATATGTGGGTCAAACGGTTCCTGAGTTGATCGTTGACCGTGCCAAGAATGTTGAGGACGGACAGACGGACGTACGACGGACCGACGACCACATGCGCAAGATGCTCAAGGCTTGACGATGTCAAGTGAGCTAAAAAACAAAATGGGTGTGCGAAATAAAATATTACTTCCCCCTACACCCCCATTTTCAATTCTTGGCATCACCAGTTGGCAAACAAATTTAACAAAGCTCCTTGCAGATTATGAATAATTTAATGATAATAACAATAATCAAATCTGCACATGTACAGCTTTAGCTAAATGCACGCAAAGTATTGGGTATTGTTAAATGCATAACAACCGCAGTAGTATAATATTACCATTGGTGACATGAACGAGATGAGCAAGTCGCGACACGGGCACTTATTCCATGTACACTCATTCATCTTGCAATGTCCTTATACTATATCTATAGCATCCCGATTTAGTATAGCAACATGTCATATGTTGAACTGAAGACTGAAGTAAGACTCTAAGGTTAGACTTGTTACTGTACTAGTGAGTAGTGGCAGTGAGTAGTGTACTAACATACGCGCCGGGTAAGATACAATAATGTAACGCCAACAAGAGTAGGGTTACAACGCGAGGCCTATTCTTTTTCTTGGAGGAGCCCGCTGAGTGATTCACTCAGGGCGGTTTTATGGTGCCGTTTTTTCGGAGAACTAGAACTTGCAAAGCTGGGTTTAATTCTAAACGATCAAAGCCTTTCTCCGCAGTTCCTGCGGGACTGTACGTGATGTATACAATACTCGCGCATATTTACAATAAATAAGCCTGCTTCCACAAAATTTGGAAGCGACGAGCGGGCGCGATATCGTTTCAGTAGCGGCGCATTTCTGTTGACCTGCTGACGTACGCATTCCCGCAATGCGGCGGATAGGCGTCGGCGCTAACTTGTGGGCTCCAAGATAGGACATGCCATCATGGGGGAAATGCGCTGCTGTCAGGGTCATGTATATCACGCAGGAGCTAGCCAGCATGTCAGGCCAACACGAGGAAGTCCGAAGTGGTTGAGGCCGATCGCTAATGCGGCATTGGGAAATCGGTACGGTAGACAGCGTAGGTCAACAGAAAGGCGGCTCGAGAATATCGCCGCTGCGTCTGCCTTCGAAATTTTGTGGACAGGGGGTGTATATTGATTATTAGTTTAATAGGAGAGTATTGTGATACATACTACACTAGTAAGTCCGCACAGGTGAGGAGAAGGATTTGTGTTTAGAATAAACCCAGTTTGGAAGTTCTAGTCTCGAAAAACGCGACGATAGAACAGGCTTATGAACTAACCTAAAATGTCCACGTACGCAGCAGGGCTAGTGACCTGTTAAAATCTACTACACCCCTTATATAATATCTCGCGCCAGCCCTTACTCTTTCTCGAAGTTGCTCGCTGAGCCATAAAATTAGTTCTATGACTCGCAGCGCAGCACGTAGAGGATAATTCGTCGCAAATAGCACACTAGTTTCCCCCCCACGTTTTTCTTCCGATTGTCATCCCCCAGCTCTAGGCGTGTTGTATTAGCTCTATGATATATATACTAACATATAACTATAGACATCAGTATATGCTTTATACAGAAGGCAGAATATTCCTTATAAGTAAACGATTGAGAACTAACTTGAGTCAGTCTACGGAAATATGAAAGTTCATGTTTATATTGAAGCCAATCCTTGTGTCTACTCTAACTAACTGCTAAGCTAATTCTCTACTACAAGTACCAGAGATTGGTTAGTAGCTTAGTAAAAAAAAAAAAAAAAAACAAAGGTAGCAGTAATAGAGTTACTAAGTTGAGTTATCCCTGTTTGTGTTGTTTAAGTTTGAACGGGATTGCAAGAGTTGTCTTGGCTTAGTTGACTGAATATAAGCCACATAGAAGCGTGTTACTGGCTAGTTGTTAAGATGAACATCGTATTATAAAAGGCTTAGAATACCAGTTACAGGAAATGTCAGATTTAAAGAGGTTATTTTCATAAGGCAGTACCTGACAAACCATGACTAAAACTAATTCCACGTCAATTATAGACAGCAGAGACTGGATTGTATAATTACACCACGTGATTCCAACTCCGTATATAAGTAAAGCTGAGAGGGTCTATGTCCGGCCAGGGTAGCTGGGCCGGAACACGTACCCTGGTACTATCTCGTAATATTTTCTGGAGCCGTACCCTCGCCTACTCCACTTAACAAGTCTAGGCGAGGTAGCGCCTAACACACCTAGCTGCTCTAACCCTAACCCTAACCATTATCAGATAGTTACCCAGGGTACGTTCGC